AAAAAAAAAAAAAAGGAATACATTTCCTAAGGCTATAGCTGCCCGTGGATAAGTGATTTCTTCTGGTGGATCTAGGCAAAGTGAATAGAAACCTTCCGGAAAGGATTCACTATTCTAGATGTCATTAAGAACAGTCATGATCCATAGGAGGAGGACAAAATATCGATAGTAACAGAAATTTGGAAAATGTTGATTCCAACCTTCATGGATGACTTTGAGGGGTCACAACTTCGAGTGGAGGAAGTCACTGCAGATGTGGTGGAAAGAGCAAGAGAACTAGAATTACAAGTGGAGCCTGAAGATGTAACCGAATTGTTGCAATCTCATTATAAAACTTCAATGAATAAGGAGTTGTTTCTTATGGATGAGCAAGTGGTTTCTTGAGATGGAATCTACTCCTGGTGAAGATGCTGTGAACATTGTTGAAATGACAAAGGAATTAGAATATGACCTAAACTCAGTTGATATAGCAGCAGCAGGGGTTCAGAAGATTGACTACAATTTTGAAAGTTCTACTGTGGGCATAATGCTATCAAACAGCATTGTATGCTACAGAGAAATCTTTCATGAAATATGAGTCAAACTTCATTGTTGTCTTAAATTGTCACAGCTACTCCAACCTTCAGTAACCATACCCTGATCATTCAGCAGACAACATCAGGGAAATCAAAAGGACAGCAAAAAACTTTCTGAAGGCTCAGATGATTGTTAGCATTTCTTAGCAATATTTTTAAATCAAAGCATGTATATTGTTTTAGACATAATGCTGTTGCGCACTTAATAGATTACATGTAGTGTATTTTTTTTTTTTTTTTAGCAGAGACGGGGTCTCGCTCTTGCTCAGGCTGGTCTCGAACTCTTGAGCTCAAACTATCCGCCTGTCTCGGCCTCCCAGAGTGCTAGGATTACAAGGCGCTTATCCCCTTCTAAAGAACTTAGGCAAATAAATAAGGACAAACATTTTTCTAACAAAACCACTTTTATTTTTAAATCATTTTTACTACCAAATACAGAACAAAACTCAGTGTGGAGGCAGTGTCCACTTGATTTCAACTGGTTATCTTATCCGTTAAAAGGCCTGTGTCCCAGTGTAACACTACCTTTGTGCAGAAAAAGGTTGCTGAAAATAAATATCCTAAGAATGGATAATCATCACTGCAGCATCTTAAGTCAGTGGCACTACTTTAAAACAAAAAATTAATCCCTTTAGAAAAGTTAGCATATTTGTATTCAGAGATTACAAGTGAGGGAACAGACTGTGAACAGCATTAGGTTTTACCACGTGAAGCTTTCAATATTTTAGTTGCTTTTGACTTACAAAAATGGTCATATCACATGGTTCAACCTTTATCTATTAAAAAAAGTTTACACAAATGTCATTTGTGTTCAACTTTGTTTTTAAAAATGCAGTGATTATTAGGACCATTACTAGAACTTCTTATAGACAAAATTCATTTTGATAAAATCTTTAAAAAGTTACTTACTACAAACTGTAAAAACAATGCTCCTTTTCTATATGGCATTTTAATTTTAGAACAGTTTTTAAAAAAACCCAATTTATACTCAAAACTTGGATAAAAGCTACAATTCCAAGTTTCACTTTCCCTTAACTCCAGCCATCCCGACACTACTCATTTCATAAATGAATATACTATTTACTATTGTACACTAGATACATAATTGGCAGTTTTTATACTACCCCAGAAAAGGCAAATATTTATATTTTACTGAAAATATAAATTTACTAGATATAGTTGGGATCATTCGTTTATCCTAAAGTTCATTGCTTTATCCAATCCCATTCCCAAACCCACACTATAATAATATTATACTAAGCTAAGAAAAATGACTATTTTAGATAGAAATTAAATCATTTTTGACAATTATGATGGCAACTATCACTACAGTGATGGAATTTATGTACTATAAACATGTGGCTAGAAAAGGAAAGGGCTTAATTTGTAAAATGAATGAGGTAAATGTCATACATTCAATAGCGTAAATAAATACAAATACAGTTTTACAGGAACATGAACATAAGTTTAAGGGTTTTATTATCAAAGTCTTGTAAAACAATTTCAGAAACTGTACATCAACATGGCACAGACTGTAGCCTACTTTTGTTTTTACTTAACAAAAGTGAAGCCTGAAACTCCTTAACTAAGAAAACAGTTGCTTAACTACTTTGCATATAACATGAAATCACCGTGTGCATAAGATTACTACTGCAGTAATAATAACACAAATTTATTGGTTTTATACAATTTGAGATCAAATAAAAGGTACATTATCAAGTAGATTTGTCTTATTTTAAAAGCATATGAAGGTCAATTTAAAATGCACTACCCCCTTTTTCCAACACTGAGCTTAAAACAAATTAATGAAAGGGTGAAAACTGAAAATCAGGACAAGAGATAACTTTTTTTTTTTTAACAGATGTACTCAGGATAGGCAGATAGTTTTCACTGATGTAAATATGGAATAAATTATTATTTCAGGAAAAAAAATTCCCAAACACCTTATGAAAAAGTATACAACTCTACTTCAAAATATGCTATTTACTCACTGCCAAAGACAGTTTTATTTGAAATCATGTTTCTGTAATTAAAGCCTAATTAGCCATCAAAAAAGGTTAGTGCATATATAACCTTTCAAAGTTAAACAAAAGCCACAAAAATTTAGCCACAAGGCTTAAAGGATTATCTATTTCAAATGCTCATTTCCAGATGTAAATATAAGAATGTTAATTTGTCATGTCAACAAACAAGACCATAAGTAGATCCATCATGTTGGAGGATTTTAATGACATTTAGGATATTCTTGCCACAATAACATGCAATCAGTGCATTCCCTACATGGCTCTATTACGGCAATGAATCAGATTCTAGAAATACTATAAGTGAACTTACTTAATAAAGGAGATCATACAACATAAACAATCCATGCCTGCTGTAGATGCATGCAGCTTTTCATTTTTGTTAAGAAGCAGTACCAGAATAGTAAAACTGCTTGGTTACTCAATCAGATTTCACTGTGTCAAGAACTGGTTACCCCTGTACCATTTCTTAAAAGCTTTTTGATGTAAATAACTAATATCAATATCAGGAGCTTTATAACCATTTATAACTCAGAGCTGTATACATCTAGGTTTGAGATGAACAAATACAGCATTAATAAATCACACAAAGGAATGACACTGATGCATGTGTAACACAGCTGGATTCCCACAGAGGCAATATTCAGTCACTCATATCCATGTCTTCTTCATGATGATCATCCCCATTCACTTTGGATTCTCTTAGTGAATCACCAGTTCCCTTTTCCACAGAACATTCCTTTATTTTAGGGGAACCTGCTTCTATTGGTTTCTTCTCTTCTTTTTTCTCTTTCTCGCTGTCATACCCCTGTTCCTCTTCATCGTAATCCCGTGTAACCTGCTTTGCCAAGGAAAATAATAAAAGTAAATGTCTTCAAAGAAAAATCACTTCTTAGAAGTACCAACATCACCCAAAATACCAAAATAAGTTGGTTTGTAAACATACTTTTACATCTTTATCACTCTCTGATTTTCTTTCCCGGTCCTTTTCCTTATCTTTACTCCTCTTCTTCTTGCTTGTTGATCGTTCTCTTTCATCTCTACTTCTTTCTTTGTCTTTATCTTTCTTCTTCTCCTTTTTATGTCTAGAATGACATTAAGATGTGAGCAACAGGTTTAACTTGCTTAGATGATGAGCCTGACCCAAGTTCACAACATATAAACAGGACAGTGAAGATACAAAATCCTGGACAATAAAGGGACAACTGTGTACAGGTAACACAGGCTAGAAGACCATAACTTGGTTACAGGTTTATGATGCCCAATCCTAAAGTGTTTAAATCTCAAGGCTTAAAGAGAATATATCAAAACATTCTTAAGAACTTTCACAGGACAGTTTTAAAACTGACAACCTCTGAAAAATATTAAGGATAGATCTAAATGATTAAAATTCTTACCTCCTAGGGGATGGTGAGCGAGACAATTTTCTTTTAGGAGACCGAGGCTTTTTAGGAGATCTTGTTCCACTCCTGCTTCTTCGTCGCCGTCTCTCTCTAGAATCACAAATGTGCAAACTAGGCTTTAAAATACAGCATGATCTAAAAGATACAGACATATCACAGATGTGTCTTGGCAGGAGCTTCACTAGGAACTCCTACAATATGATTCTAATAAGGAAAGATCTGCTTCTCAGTACTGTTTTTAGCTGATCAATTGGATAATAAATGTCTGCAAACCATGTACCTTTTCTTTACTGTCCTGAAGAAATCCCCTAATTTCCAGCAATTCTTTTTAAAGACATTGTGACACAAGATAATACACTGAAATCTGAAGTAAACTATCATCGAAATCAATTAGTTTTAGATTCAAACATTCATTGTTCAGAACAGGTACAGGATAATCCAATCATGTTGTGATACAGAAGGCAGCCACTAATAAAATCCAAAAATTAACTTTCGAATCATTAGATGAAATTCAGAACTAGTGGAAAGGTAGAAATCAAATTGACTTCCTATTAAAATCCCCCTCCCTCCACCAACAAACCCTGCTTTCAACAATTATTGAGATATACAGCTTTCCCCTGCTTTTTATTGTGACTATAAAAAAATTCTGTTCATGATTCTCAAAAGCTGTCAGACTGGCAAGATGACCATTATATGATTTAGCTACAAACAAAGCAATCAAAAAATAAAACCTGAACATTTTCATCACCCCAAAAAAGAAATCCCTTATCCCTCTAATTCCTCCTGTCCTCCTGGCAATCCAGTAATCTACTTTCTATCTTTATGGATTTGCCTATTCTAGAAATTTCACATAAATGGAATCACATAATATGTGGCCTTTTGTGAATTGTCTTCAAGGCTGATCCAAGCTGCAGCATGTGGGGGACATTTGCGTTGCCTTTTGGCTATTATGAATAATGCTATAAACATTCAGGTACAAGTTTCTATGTGGACATGTTTTTGATTTTCTTGGGTATATCCCCAGGAGTAAAACTGCCGGGTCAAAAACCTCTATATTTAACATTCTTAGGAATTACCAGACTGCTTTCCAAAGCAGCTGTATCAGTTTGTATTCACACCAGCCATGCACAGGGTTCTAATTTCTCTACTACCTCACGGACACTTTTCCTCTGTCTTTTTGATTATAACCATCCTAGTGGGCGTGAAGTGATATTTCACTGTGGCTTTGATGTGCATTTCCTTGGTGACTAATAATGTGGGAACATCATTTCATGTACTTATTGAACATTTGCATATCTTCTTTGCAGAAATGCCTATAGATTCTTTGCCATTTTTTAATTGGGTTATTGCCTTTCTATTACTGAGTTGTAAGAGTTCTCTATATAGTGTAGATATTAAGTCCCTTATCAGATATATAATTTGCAAATACTTTCTAGCACTCTAGGTTTTTACTTTCTTGATAGTATCCTTTGAAATATAAAAGGTTTTAATTTTGGTGATTTCCAATTTATCCTTTTTCTTCTGTTGCTTGTGCTTTTGGTGTTATATTTAGGAAACCACTGCCAAATACAAGGTCATAAAGATTTACTTCTGTTTTCTTCTAAAAGTTTTATAGTTTTACCTCTTACATTTAGGTCTTTCATCCATTTTGATTAATTTTTTATATGAGCCTCCTAGCAAATTTCAGTAATGTAGATTAATAACCAAACACTGCAACATAATGTGTACATGAGATCTGAAGAAAATGGAATTAACTATGTCTAGCCCTCATTAGCAGCATAGGAATTCCAAAGTAATTATGAAAAATAAATTTTCTGTGGAGTAAAGTTTGCAACATTTCAATTTGCACTGTGACAGTTTAGAAACAGAATTAGTCCATGAATGACACTCAGAACGTGCATTGCCTCCTATTAATTTATCAATGAACCACTGTAAGGGAAAAAAAATTCTTGAGTATTAACATGTAGATATGATAAATATAACTTACTATAACTAGTTTAATGGAACAATTCAGTATGCCTTAGCTGTTAAAACTGTTAAGATAGAAAAACTGACCTTTGTTGAGTTCTGTGTTGTATCAAATATACTCTACACCATAAAATATTTAAATAACAAGAAAGAGAAACCTCAGGTCACTCTTCACAAATTGTCTTTTCGATAGCTTTCAATAATGGCAAAGCTTAACTTCTGTCAACAGTGAAATATTTATCTATGTTCTGGAAAACATTTCATGTTCACAGTCTACTGATAATCTTATAAGCAAAGTTAAAAATGCCAAGAATTCATGATGCCATCTTACCTGCTTGCACTTCTAGAGCGTCTGGCTGTGCTATAACTTTTTGGTGGTGTTTTGGAACGTTTCTTTTCTTTGTCTTCTTTCTTTTTGTCTCTAACAAATGAACGTAATTTATGAATGCATTAGAAGACTTAGCTAATGCCAATTTACATAGAGTTACAAATAAAAACCAAAGTATAATCAAGGTCTAATCCCATTCTTCAAAGCTAGGATGTTATTCTGACAACTGTTTTAGAAATAATAGCTCATTTGACACACTTGTGGTACACAACTACTTCAAAAATCCCATTTTCCTGGTATTTCATGTAAAATTTCTCTCCAACAGTGTACACTATGAGATGAGAAAAACATTAGGATGTTGGCCAGTTTCTTGCTATGTTTGGTGGTAAACACCAATAGGTTTAATAGTTGTCTCTAAGCTCTTCAACACTCCTTTTTCTCTCAGCTATCACTTTCCCAAACCACCTCTCCTATTAAGGCCAAAACCCATAATGCACTACACCAAAATCAACCATCAATACCATTAATATTCTTCCAAAGCACACATCCCATGTTAACCTTTGTTATGGATCAAGTCAAGCTTATACCTTTTTCTGTTGCTATATACTCTGGGCTATTCAGTGCTGTTAGAAAAATATCCTATCATAATGAACTGGTACTACAGCCATATCACGACTCAAAATCTTTTCACAGATTCTGGTAAATTTATTTTTATTCCCCACAGTATTTTTTCCGAAGATCACCATTCTTCCCAAGATCCTGAGCAAAGGGTAATCAACGTAAGTATGTTGAATGAGAAGTCCCATAAAAACACACACACCCCTATCTCAATTATTCTATAATTTTAGGGATCAAAGCATCCCTCTTATTGTTCTCAGCTAATCTTTCCATTCTACGGTCTCTATTTCATTCCTTCCCTTCTTGGTCATCCTGCTCCATCAGTTATCCTCTCTCTTTATTAAAGTCTTTATCATCTTATTCCTAGATTACAACAACTGTCTAATAGGTCCCAGTCATGCCTGCCATAAATTGATTCTGTACTGTCAGAAATCTTTCAATGCACAAACCTGAAAATACTAATTCCCTGTTCATCATTTTTCAACCCATTCCAGTTGCCTCCTGGATCAAGTGCAGTGTGAACAACAAAGCCTTCTATGATCTGTCCCCTTATACTTCTGATCTCATATCCTCCGAGCCCACCTATTCGAAAATACTTGCTATTTCAAGAAACAGCATTCTCCCCCTACCTGAAACCATGCCCCCCACTGAGTCTAGTGGAAATTTATCAGAATTTAATACCTGAGTCACTTATTAATTAAACCTCTTCCAACGTTAGCAAGTGGCAATCACCATTTAACAACAGCCCTTCCCCTGTAATTATATTCACCACTCCTCTCTTAATAATCAGAAAGTCCTTAGAGGAAGGAATGCCTAATTCCTCTTTGCATAACTGTTCCATTAAGCAACACTGGATTGACTGAATTAATAGATGATTCACTGTGTAATATATAATACTAAAACTGCCATTACTATGGCCTGAACACTGATAGTAAAGCCACCCCAGCTCCTCTGTTCCCATCAGTTGAGTTATATGCTTACCAAGAATAAATTTTGTTGGGTCCCCAGCTGCACTTATTTTAATTACATGATTTAAATATATGAAAGGATAAAACAATACAAAATATAGGACTGCTTCTAGAAAATTAAGATACCTATTTTGGAAAAAGACAAAGGACAATTGACAAAAAAAATTAAGCGCTGTGAAAACATATATGTCTGACAAATATAAATGATCAGGGGCATACTAATTTAAAAGGGTTTGGGCTCCATATGAAAAGATTGGTCACTAAGTATGTGTTTAAGTGGAAATAAAATGTTATGGTAGGGGATTTTCTTTTTTCATAAATCCTCACTTTAACTCCCCACTGGTCCCAAATCATAGGATCAGAGAACCTCCGTATGGTTCAGCGTATATAGCAATCCTTTTTAAATGTTTCCCAGTCACTGATAATGAGACCTATAAAGATGATGAGGCTTGGCTGTCTTGCCTTAAACTCTGGCATACCATAAGGAATGGCTGGTAGCACTAAATCCTTAGCAGTGGTAAAGTGGAAAGGAGGAAATGAAAGAAGGTAGTAGGATAGGTAAGAAATTCTACTAAGGCCTTCAGCTATAAGCTGAAGTTCTAGTTTACAAGGAAGCACCAGAAAAAAAAGTCAGTCCCCTCAAATTCTAAACAGTTTCTTCCCCTGTCTAGCCCTATTCTCTCTGCTCCCCAAACCCACGCAACTCTTTTGTTATGTAGTAGCAGCACAGTATTCGGGGTCGTGGGAACTCTAAAATTTGTGTTCTCACCCAACGTTAACAAGTCTTTTCTACCTGGTTTTTGATGTGCTCCTTGACCTTCTACCTCTCTCTCTGGAATGAGATCTTCTCCGTCTTGGACTTTTGGATCGTCGCCTACTCCTTGATTTAGAATGTGATCGCCTCCTCGATCTGCTTCTTGACCGCCTAATAAATGTAAAAGGAAGCCAGTATGTGCGTATAAATGTAAAAAGGCTGTGAATATTTAGCTTAATATCAGACATATGGATTAACCACCAATTAAGTGGGGGATAATTCCCTTCTAGCTGCTGTCATGAACTATTTAGTCCATAGAGTAAATGCCTTTGATACCTTAGAAATTAGTAATACCTTTTAACACTTGAATTCTTTACCTTTTAATGTTTTGCTCAATGTCAGACCAGTCCTTTTATACTCACCGTACCTGTAACTCTAAGGTTAAAATTCTACTAGAGAATGAAGGAAAAATATAAAACATCCGACTCATCTGCATCATCTTATACAGTTACATAACATTTCAGCATATATTTTCTCTATTTTATTCCTCACTATTGCAGCTTAAACTTTATCATTTCTCAAATAATTATGCTATATACAAACTTTAGTAGGCCTTGTAAGTCCATAAAGCAGATATTATTTGTAGTTTATAAATACAAACCACTTAGTGTGCTGCCATCTATTATTTCTCATTGTTGTCTCTGAAATAAATTCCACTTCTTTAATTCACAATTTAAGAAACTCTGAGCAATAGAAGCCTTATATAGATACATACGACTCAGTGCTAACTGCTACTTTTACTCTCATTTTGCCCTCAACATATCACCGTCTCTATATGATTATCTCTTTCATGTCACATGAGAGAAATGTTTCCTATCCGTGCTCTCCCTGACCCACTATCCCTATTTTCTCTTCTAGGACTTAAGCACATTTAACCTTTACATATTGTCATCCTCCTTCCTGTCTCAAAACACCCATTTTCCTCTATTTTAAGAATTAAAAATAAGCTACAATCCTTTGCTTAATCTTTAACACTTAACTCCCATTTATATGCCAGGTAACTTAGAGCATTATCTAACCTCTTTGATCCTGTTACTTCAGCAAAGAAGGGTAGTAACAGCTACAACACAGGATAGGTGTAAAGATTAAATGTGGTTATACAGAGTCCAGTTCAGTGCCTTAGTGTAGGCATATACAGTTGATCCTTGAACACCACAGGCTTGAACTGCTTGAGTCCACTTATATGAGGATTTTTCAACCAAGTTCAGATTGAAAACAGTATTCAAACCATACATATACGAAGGGCTGACTTTTCGTGTTAAGTTCCAAGGGACTTGAGTATACAGTTACAAGGGGTCCTGTAACCAATCTCCTGCGTATACCAATGGACAACTGTACATTAAATATTAATGCCCTTCTTTCCTCTTAATGATGTGCTAATACAGCTTCTGTTGCCTTAACTCTCTAAAACAATCGCCTTAAAACCCATCAGTAGTGCCTTATTGAACTCAATAAATCTTTATATTTCAAACTACTTACTAAACATCCCTTGCAATAACATCTCTATATCTTAAGAAATTTTCACTTAATTTTTTTCTTCCTTTCTGTATGTTCACAAAGACAGGGGAAATTTGTCTACCCATCACTATACTCTTGAGCAATTACTAAAGTGCCTGACTTAAACAAAATAAAATGTACCATAATATACTTCGAGTGAAATAATGAGCCTATAAAATATCAGCATAATCACTTTCTTCTCAAGAGATTAAAACATTCTGGAAAACAAAACTGATGTTGTTAGAATTAATTATTGCTCATCTTCTGAGGATTCTGGCTTTAAGAAGAATTTAAGTTAAAATTTTCAATAAACAAGTTACACATTTTTCCTACCTTTAATGGACAAAGAAAAAGTACAGATGTAGACAATAAATCACAAGAGTACTCTCATAGGTTTCTTTTG